GGCCGCGGCATAAAAAAGGTTGGGGATCACTGCTGTAAAGGGTCCAAGACAAAGGCTCTATAGACCTGGATCTTTATATGTTCCAAAAGCTTCATATTATGCCATACTCTCTTTGTATGTCTGGAAAATGTGGTGGCTGCTTTACCGATACATCTATTCAGCTCAATGTCTAAAGAGAGAGTGTCGGAGATAGTTGAGCCAAGGTACACAATGTCACGGACGATCTCCACAAAAGGTATCAGGTTTTGACCTTCCTCACCTGCATTGGTCAACGATGAACAGGATCCGTACCCAACACAATGTCTGCCAGGACTCCTTGTTTAAGTGGGGTCTTGTCTCTATCCCTCAGTGTGACTGTGGTGCTCTCGACAAAATATCCATCACATTGTATCTGAATGTCCATCAAGAGCTTACACCGGTCCAATGTCTGATTTTTTTTCCAACCCTGTCCTTGAATGGCTGGGTGGACTGGACATTAACATTTGAACCTACTATAAGCCCATGTATTTGCCATATGCTAAATAAATAAATAAATCACATGCCATCCATATATAAAACTGAGGAACAAAAGCCAGCATGAAGATTTAAACACAAACAATTATAAAGGAAGTAAAGCTGCATGCTTTTGTTCTACAGTAGTTCATCTTCTTTATCAGAGTCTCTTCTATCAGCAATTAACTCTCTAATAAAGAAGATCAGGATGGTCCCAAGATTTGTCCTTGAGACTCCTAACAGTGCTGGCTGGGTTTCTGGAAAAATATATATATTTATTGCTCTGCCTTGGGCGATGCTGTGACAGTTTCCACCAGCATTTGCATGTCTAAATTTTCTGCATCCATTTTCTCCACTTTCATAATAAACAAGCTACAAATTTATCTTCTTGTTTCTGCTTTTTACCATTTTATGTGACTCGCAATAAATTTACTCCATTTGCTCAGTCATGGACAATTGTTTTGATTGTCTGGACCTGTTAAATGGGGTTGGGGGTAGACAGGACTGTTTTTAGTTCTCTTCCTCTGAAGACTTTTGGTCTCCTTTATGCTGTTGGCGTTGTTGGGGTTGAGTGGAGGGTTGAGGCCCAGCCTTAGGCCCCAACTTTGAGGGGCATAAAGCTCAAATATTTAAAATGTAACTGCTTGGTGAGATCATCTGTTGGCCCCTGGTTAGGTACCATCCATACAGGTAGTCCCCAACTTTCAACGGTTTGTTTAATAACAACTAAAGTTTCATAGTTTCATAGTCAGTTGCAATGTATGGCTGTGAAAGTTGGACCATAAAGAAGGCTGAGCACCAAAGAATTGAGGCAAGGGTGGGATACGACAGGGTTAACTACCGGTTCGGGATTTATGAGCTTCTCTGCCAGCTGTGAGCTGCACACCTGTAAATTGTCATTAGCACGCTGCTGCGTGCAGAGAAACAGCCTTTGAAACAGCTCTCTTTTCTTGTTTTTTTTAACTGCAGCTGTGCCTCATTTGACAGCTGAAGTTGAAAAAATCAGGAAATAAAGGTCAGGTAAGAGTCTGGGTGGGCAGGTGGGCAAAAACATCAGCAGACATAGAACCGGTTCTATGTCTGCTGCTCTTCAGAGCTACCGGTTCTACAGAGGTGGACAGAACCAGTAGAAACCCACCCCTAAATTGAGGCCTTTGAACTCTGGTGCTGGAGAAGACTCCTGAGAGTCCCTTGGACTGCAAGACAATCCAACTGGTCAGTCCTAGAGGAGATCAACCCTGACTGCTCTTTGGAAGGCCAGATCCCGAAGATGAAACTCAAAGACTTTGGCCACCTCATGAGAAGGAAGGACTCCCTGGAGAAGAGCCTAATGCTGGGAACGATTGAGGGCCAAAGAAGAAGGGGACAACAGAGAATGAGGTGGCTGGATGGAGTCACTGAAGCAGTTGGCGTGAGCTTAAATGGACTCCAGAGGATGGTAGAGGACAGGAAGGCCTAGAGGAATGTTGTCTATGGGGTCACGATGGGTCGGACATGACTTCGCAACTACCAACAACAACGTTTCACAGAATAGAATAATAGAGTTGGAAGGGACCTTGTAGATCATTTTGTAGATCATCCCCTGCTCAAGCAGGAAATCCTATAACATTTCAGACAAATGGTTGTCCAGTTTCTTCTTAAAAACTTCCAGTGTTGGAGCATTCACAACTTCTGGAGGCAAGTTGTCCCACTGATTAATTCTTCTGTCAGGAAATTTCTCCTTAGTTCTAAGTTGCTCCTCTCCTTGATTTCTTCTCATGCATGTTTTTGCTTCACCATTTATTATTCTTACCACATTCAGCAACCATGATTCAATTTCACATTCATTTATTTGTTTTTCTTTGTTTGCTTGTTTGTTGGCCATCTTACCATAGGGTAACTCTGAGCAGCTTCCAGACATAAAAATGTCTACATGAAAACTAAGAGTAAATTAAAACCAAGATTAAAATCAAGGACACGTGGGGAGGAGGGGTGGAGATAGAATGAGGGGAGGAGGTGGGATAGGCTGTTAATCGATCAACATTGGCACATAATCCCCATAATTAATGCCTATTCACTTGATCCGATGCTTCCATTGCATCAGGAAAGATGCAATAAATGTTCTTTTTCACTTTCTCAGCTCTGAAAAATCTTTCGTTTCATTGGGGAACAGGAGGGGGGGCAGTGTCTAGAGAAAAAGAGTTCTCACATCCCTGTTTTTAATCTTGCTCTTTTTGTGAATAGCGTATGAATAGCGTATCTCCTTCTTGCCAGAAACTGGCTGCTTTCTGACTGATTAAAATACATATGGTAATGTCATCTAACAAAACTCTTGCCATATTCCGAATGACAGGTTGCAGATAAAAATGAATTATGTTTGAATTAAAATCCATTTCCAAATATGAAATTATCTTACCCCATTTGACTTATTTGACTTATCCTCACCGCGTTAACCACAGAGATGGTGGGTTTTGTTTAATATTGACTTTGTTAAGTGCTTCAAGGTCCCCCTATGAAGGTTATCTTGTAAATATAAATTTGATTGAATCCCTCATCGAGTTTCTGTGTGGATTCAAAAAAAGAGATCGGTGCTGTTAGCCTCTGGAAAATTGATAAGGTGACTTACTCTAATTGATCTGTTTAGTTTCTGAGGGTTCTCTGGAGAAAGGAAGACAAGTGTTTGCAAACCGATTACATCTTCTCACGTTTATGACAAAATAGGGTTAGGTATCTGGATTTGGCTAAAAGGGGTATAAATTGAACTGGTGGACCTTGAGAATATATAACATGTGTTGTATTGAAATGGTTTGGTAGAACAAAATATAAATAAAGACAAATCTTTGCTGGTCAGCATCTCAGAACTGCAAATAACAAGAAATTTGGGAGTCCTTGGTGTTCTCTGAGTTTGATGGTTTTCTTGCAGATGTTTCATTACCAAACTAGGTAACATTATCAGTGTGTTGATGATGTCACCTAATTTGGTAATGAAACATCTGCAAAAAAAACCCACCAAGCTCAGAAAGAACCAAGGATCCCTCAGTACAACCCTGAGCTACAAATATGTGCTCTTCTACCGATAACTATAACTTAATGTTTTTGAGGACTAATATTTAAGCAACCTTTAAATATTGTTTAAAGAGATAGCTTGGTCCAGTGGTTAGACACTAGATTAGTGGCCTAACCACTAATCTCCAGTGGCCTGGAGACCATGTGTTTTGTGTAGCCTAAGGCACAAAGCTATCTGTGTCACTTTGGGCCAGTTCTTCTCTCTTCACCAAGAAGAAGACAGTGGTGAACTACTTTTAAAAATGTCATCCCCAAAATTTCTCCAGTGGAAAAGGATAGGTCATAAAACCATTTAATATATTAACCTGATGATATCTTCAACGCCTTCGAGCAATTTCAACCAAACTTGGTATACAGATGACTTACCCTCTGGAAACAACTACTGTGGGGATAAGACACCCCTAACACCCCTCCGGGTGTGTGTGTGTGCCTTAAAATGGCTTCTGCCATGGTAGCAGCTTCACAGGCCTCCCTCTTGTGGAGCATTGTGACACTACACGACAGACAGTACAACAGCGTGAGTCCCGACTACAGGATTTTCCTGCTAATACAGGATTGGGATAAATAAATACCCAGGCAATGCCGGGTTTATTTATTTATTTATTTGTCAATTGCTTACAAGATAATAAGTATAAGTATATACATAGTTATGAATACATGAAATGGGTACATATAAGAAAAATAAAACAAAACAATAGGACAGGGACGGTAGGCACGTTGGTGCGTTTATGCACGTCCCCTACAGACCTCTTAGGAAAGGGGTGAGGTCAATAGTAGACAGTCTAAGGTTAATATTTTTGGAGTTTGGGTGAGAAACTACAGAGTCAGGTAGAGTATTCCAGACATTGACCACTCTGTTGCTGAAGTCGTATTTCCTGCAATCAAGTTTGGTGCGGTTAACCTTGAGTTTGTATCTATTGTGTGCTCTTGTGTTGTTATGGTTGAAGCTGAAGTATTCACTGACAGGTAGGACATTGCAATGTATGATTTTATACACCATACTTAGATCAGACCGAAGACGGCGTAATTCAAGGTTTTCTAGGTCTAGAATTTCAAGTCTGCTGGCATAAGGTATTCTACAACAAGTAGAGGAGTGGAGAACTCTTTTTGTGAAATATTTCTGGACTTTCTCAACTGTGTTAATATCAGATACGTAATGTGGGTTCCAGACTGATGAGCTGTATTTGAGTATTGGTCTAGCAAATGTTTTGTATGCTCTAGTTAGTAGTGTTATATTACCAGAGAAAAGGCTACGTAGGATTAGGTTAACAACTCTTAATGCCTTTTTGGCTATGTAGTTACAGTGGGCTCTAGCACTTAGATCATTAGAGATGAGTATTCCAAGGTCCTTTACAGAGCTTGGATCATCAACAAGATCTTGACTATTCAGCTTGTATTTTATTTTCTGATTTATTTTTTTTTGCCAATATGTAAGACAGAGCATTTATTTGTTGAGATTTGAAGTTGCCATTTGTTTGACCATTCTGATACATAGTCAAGATCTTTTTGAAGGGTAGCAGTATTGTCTGTGGTATTGAACAGCTTTACATCATCAGCGAAAAGAATGCAGTTGCTCTTAATATGATCATAGAGGTCATTTATGTAGAGTATGAAGAGAGTTGGTCCTAGAACACTGCGTTGGGGGACACCACTATTGACAGGTACAGAATTTGATAGGACACTCCCAATTTTGACCATTTGTTGTCTTTTTGACAGGAATGCTTCTATCCAGTTATGCAGTTGCCCAGAGGTACCATAAGATTTTAGTTTTAGGAGTAGTTTGTCGTGTACCACTGAATCAAAGGCTTTACAGAAGTCTATGTAGATTGCGTCTGTTGTTTTGCCCTGATCGAGTTGTGTAGTCCATATGTTTTGCAGTGTAAGAGTTGCAGATTACAGGATAGTTTTTTTCTGAAACCAAATTGTTTATTGGAGAGTAGGTTGTTTGTCTCTAAGTGGAGGATAATGGATTGGTTAATAATTGATTCCATGACTTTGCAGGTGACGCAGCATAAGGACATTGGTCTATAATTTTCAACTAGGCTGGGGTCTCCCTTTTTGAAGATGGGGATGACCGTGGCTTGTGACCATAGGTTAGGCAAGGAGCTGGTCCTGAAAGATTTTTCAAAGATTATGCTTAGAGGTTCGGCTATGGCAGTGGATAGCTTTTTTAAGAAGTAGGCACATATTCTGTCCGGTCCAATAGATAGAGATGGTTTTAGATTGTGTAGTGCTTTTTCAACATTGTCTTCTGTAAAATCAATATGTATTAGATCATTGTAATTGTCTGTGGTTCGGCTAGGAAATACTGGGCATGATCCATTGCTGTTTACAAATACTGAGCCGAAGAATGTGTTAAAGATGTTGGCTTTAATGGTGTCATCGTTGCAGTCTTTACCATTAAGTCCTATTAGGGGTGGGATGGACCTTGAGTCTTTTAGTTTGTTGTTTACAAAATTGTAAAAAGTGTGGGTGGAATTGGTGCATAGAAGGTTTTCCTCTTGTTTAATGTGATAATTGGTGCATTCAGTCTTTATCTGGTGGCATAAATTTTTGTATCGGCTTTTGAAATTGGCAACGTGACCAGATTTGTTTTTCCGCCAGAGTGATCTCTTTTTGGATTGAAGTTTCCTTATTGTTATGGGTAATCTGTTTTTTTTTAAGGGGGGGAGTTGTTGTTGGTGCATATAGTTTGATGACTCTTTTGACTTCAGGTAAAAATATGTTGTAATGGTCTTCAACAGTATTGCATCCAGTGAATAGAGATTGCCAATCAAGGGATGAGAGATCGTTGTCTGTAAGATCATAATTGTCTTTTTTGAAGTTATAATTGAGGATTACGTCATTGTGATGATTTTTGTGTGGGCGTATGTTGAGACAAAAGTCAGTCGGCTAGTAGATAAATAAATACCCATGACTGAAACTCTGAGGGCAATATGAGGAATACATTCCTTTGATGGTTGAAAATCATCTATGAACATAATCATCTATAAGTGTCTGGTTTGGTACAGCAACTAAACAGACTCAGACTACAATAGATAGCTAGGATTGCAGAAAAAAGAATTGCAACCTGCCTGCCTTTCATTGAGGACTTGTATATTGCATGAGCCAGAAAGAGGGCTGAGAAAGTATCTACAGACCTCTTACATCCTGGACATATATATTTTTTTCAGTGCTTTCCCTTAGGATGTTGGTCATTGCCTGCCAAAACAACTAAACACAATGGCAGTTTTTTTTCCCCATGGCATCACTCTGCTAAACATCTGATTCCTATGGCCCTGTATGGGATATTTGAGTCATGTAGTAGGGCTGTATTACTATTATCCTTGTCATCTTTCCTATTATCTACTCCTATTGGTATCTTATGACTATCCGCCTGTCTGTTGGTTGTATCTTATGATTTATGATTTTGTATTTTATGATTTATGATTTTATCACATTGTTGCTTGTATGTACACTGAGGGCTTATTCACCAACAAATTCCTTCTGTGCCCAATCACACTTGACCAATAAAGAATATTCTCTTCTCTTCTCTTCTCTTCTCTTCTCTTCTCTTCTCTTCTCTT